TCCCTCTCTCTCTCCCTCTCTCCCTCCCTCTCCTTCCCTCTCTCTCTCTCTCTCTCTCTCTCTCTCTCTCTCTCTCTCCATCTCTCTCTCTCTCTCTCTCTCTTCCCCCTTTCCTCACTTCCCAGCCCTTTCTTCTGAGCAAGGACCCCCAGGCCAGCCTCGGAGGCCGCTCACAGGACCTGGCCTTGCCCATGGGGACAGGGACCTCAAACAGGGACTTCCTCCTGTGCGCAGAGGCAGGGAAGTCCTGCTGGCCCGCTCTTCCCTGCCCAGTGCTGCCCGCTTCTCCTGCTCTTCCGCGTCCCCGAGACCTGGGCCCCTCCTGCCGGTTTTTTCTCATTGGAGCCGCCAAGCCCAGGGCACCCCTGGAAAGGCACAAGGCCCAGCTGATGCAACCCGACAAGGCCCCAAGAGGGGACGCAGAACAGTAGGGCAGGGGGAAGAGGGGCGGACACGGGGAACAGGACAGGAGCAGAGACCTCGGGGCAGGGGCAGAAGTGGGGAGCAGAGGGCTGCCTTCCTCAGCTGGGCACCCTGCGGAAGTGCCGGCGTGCAGCGCTGAGGAGCAGCAGGGAGATGGCCCACAGGCTCATCCATACTCACCTTTGCCATTCCCTGCAGCTCCCTTCCACTCCCCACCCCAGGACCCCTGAGCGTGCTGCTCCCAACCTTGCCCCCAAACCTGCTATGTACCCAAACCTGCTGTACCCCAAATCTGCTGTGCCCCAAACCTGCTGCACCCCCAAACCTGCTGCACCCCCAAACCTGCTGCACCCCCCAAACCTGCTGTGCACCCTAAGCTTCAAGAGTGGGCCCATCCCAACCATCAGGACCTCCAGGTGTAGCCTCAGTGGCCACTGCTTCTCCTTAGGGTCTGAAACCCAGAGTGCGTTTGGGAAGTAGGCACTGGGCCTTGGAGTCTGCTGGCCTGAATGGAGAAGCAAGAGACACAGACAGCAAAGGACTGCAGGGTCAGCCAGTGCAGAGGGGCAAGCGAGGTCCTGGTGCTCCATTCCCGTGGCCAGCACAGCCCTGCCAGGGCCTGTGACCTCCATGCCACTTGAGCAGATGACACAGAACACGCAGGCACTTCATGGAGGAATCAGTGTGGAATCCTGACCGAAGACCTCAGCTGAGCTGGGCTAATCTCTCTGCTTTTCAGGGTGCTGTGTCCCTACAAAATGCATCTTCACCTTGTAGCTGTGTGTGCCATGCTTAGGGATGGACACCCCATTGGCTATGGGACTCTGTGGTCAAGTACCATGGGGTGCTGAGCTCCCACCTTAGGCTCAGGGGTTTCGCCAACAGAGGAGTACACCAGGCCCCTGAGCACATGTCTCTGAAGGGTGACCCTGGTTGTAGGGAGCAGGACAGGATGGCCCCAACCGAGAGTGTCCATGGGCAGCCAGGATGTGACAGCTGAGGAAGATGCCCCGGCCCGAGGCCAGGCTACTGGCAAGGACAATGGCCACCGGCCACCACGCAGGAGCCCAGGGACCCAGGCTGGGCTGCAGGGTCACACAGGGATGGGGGACAGAGCTTGTTTGTCTGGGGAGAGAGTGTTGTCACAAGGGAAGGAAGGAAGAGGCTCATGGGGGTGGAGTCTGCAAAGCAGGGTGCCCAGGACCCTTCAGAGAAGGTGCAGCGCCCACCTGGGCGGAGGGCACTCCGTGTGGGAGTTCACACCTCGGTCACCTACCTGACCCGGCTGGAGGAGTCTTCGCTGAGCTCAGCCAGGAAGCCTCAGAGCAGAGCAGTAAGTACGGGGCATCCGGGGACAGCACGGGGCCAGGCTGTGTGGCCACGAGCGGAGCTGAGGGCAGCTCCCCATCCTCAGCTCAGCGGGGGACCCCACCCCACCTTCCAGACACACCTGAGCGAGCCCAGTGGCCTGAGCACAACACGACTGCCCACTCCAGGGCCCGCGGCTGTAGGTTCTCCCAGCATCGCCTGGGCAGCACAGAAGCAGGGGTGGCCAGGAAGACGAGATGGCCCTGGACCTCCAGGGCTGTGGTGGAGGAGTGAATGTGCAGTGCTTGTGCACACACACACGTACATGCAAATACACACACACATGCACACACATGCATGCCCTCACCTGTGATTACCGTGCACAT